CACCACCCTGGGTTTATTGTGCTGGGATCGCGTTCACCTCACGGCCCAGTGTCTCAGTGTCTGTTATGCCAGGGTTGCATTCACTGCACGATCTATTGTCGTGTTATGCTAGGGGCACATCCACCACACGGTCCAGTGTGTCTGTTATGCTAGTGTTGTGTTCAACAAATGGCCCAGTGTCTGTTGAGCTAGGGCCCCCACCGGATGACCTGGCACCAACTCTACATGACAAGCGAAGAAAAAGCGTACGCAATTGATCATGCTTCTGGCAAAAGCCCTGACACAATATAAAAATTCTGTAGTGGGTGAGTCCATCGCGCCTTTAGATAGGAGTTCCACGCTCTTGGTTTTGTAGCAGTACTCTTGATGTCACTACGAGTCCATAACCAATGCGTGCATTGCATGTCTTCAACTGTGATTTCTTTTCTATGGGCCTGCTGCATGCCACACTGCCTTCATTACGTCGTGCGGGGAAATCAGATATCACACCTTACCGTCTTACGCTTGGCGTATAACTGATTTCGGTGGTAACTGAAGCTCATGCATCCAAACTTACTGGATCGTGTCTGGACTTGAACAAATTACGCAAAAACTGGTACGCTGGTGCACTAGATGGTGGATTTGTCAGTGGATGAGGGCAGGACATGATGTAGGCAAGCTACATACTGAACCCGGCGTGCCGCGAATTGGCCCGTCATCACCCAGTTTCATACCCTAAGCTATGGATTCTTGGTGTCACTCATACAGGACGTGGATCGTGTAGATTAGCTCACAACGCTCCGCGATTTAATTCTCTCTTTGAGCCCAAGCTACCCTGGGCGGGCAGGCTGCGCTTGGACGATTTGCGCTTCATGGATTTTCTCAACCTTCGCTGCATGATTTACTGGCTATTTTCTGTTTGTATTTTAGTTTTCGCTAAGCATTTTCGCTTCGGACGCCAAGAAGATGCTCATGAATTTCTTCGTTACTTCACCGAAGCGTTGCAAAAGTGCTGCCTGAGTGGCTTGTCAACCAAGTAAGATCTTAATGATTGTACTTGTAGTGTGTGCTCTTGGATAACTGCTTGCTTGTATGTGTGGTGGTGGTGTGTGCGAGCGCATGTGTACGTGTGTATTGGTAGCACTGCTACTTGGTTTTCTTTCTTGACTGCCTGCTCTTCATTCCCAGTACATAGCAAGTGTGAATGACTGCCCAGTACGTTCTCTACATTTTACTAGTAAAATATTTACAACGGGCTGCAATGGTCCCTACTGCTTCAGCACGAGCGCCAGAAGAAGCTGCAGTACGGAGAGCGAATCGTCAATGTGGATCGTGGCACATTCAGCCCGCTGGTGTTGTCAACTTCTGGTGTTGCCGCCCCTGAATGTGAAAGGTTCCTTAAGCGCCTCTGTGGCTTGCTTGCCAGGGCTGATTCCAGCATGCCCTATGCACACCATGTTGCATATGTGCGCTGCAGGCTGTCTTTCGCGCTGCTCCGGTCCGCTGTCATGTGTGTCCGTGGGTCTCGGTCGGCATACCATCGTCCAGCTAACGAGCTCAGGGAGCTGGCAGTGGTTGAAAGCCGGATCTAAAACCATTTGTGTTTTAGTGTGACTCTCGCCATTCCGGAGACATATTGTCCACACCTGTGTAGTATTTTTAATATTATCTTCCTGTTTTCTTCTACTGTGTATGTATCGTAAATTACCGTTGGCCCGTCCCCTCTCTACTCTCTGCCCCTTGTGGAGTTTCTACAAAGTACCCGCGAAGCGACTTCTGTGCGCGTACGTCCGAATTCGGTGTTAGTTAGCCCTTTGAGAGCTGCTTGGATTTTTCAAAATTCTGCATATTTCATGTTCTTTGGATCGTAAGTTCAGGTCTACTCTCTCAGTCTTCACAATCTTAGGCTTCCTGGAAAGGTCTCCAAGAGAGGAAGAGACTGAGGTCACACATGATGACCAGGACACCATATCTCCAGCGCTGGAGAGCAGCGAAATACTGTCAAAATACTATCAGCAACAAGGATATTTTTTAGTTATGTGAGTGATTTGTTTTGACAAGTTTATCAATGCTTTTGTCGGTGCTGCTGCTGGGAATGTGCTGCTGGGAATGTGCTGCTGCTGTGTACAGGATCGACTCTTCAATCAAGGCCACCACACTAGTGCATCAAGTGTTTGGTGGATACCATCGTAGCTTAGGTGAGTGACCAGTGGTGACTGATGTTGTTGTCTGGCCCTGTGAAAGCGTTGACATTGTTTCCCTCAGTATTGACGCCACCACTAGTACAGTTCTGGCCAGAGAAATCTGACCTCATGATTAAAGTAGCACCACATTCAAGGGTATTCTGTGTGGTGCTAAGACCACAGTGCTAATATCATTATACATGTATTTTGAAGTATTCACGAGGTCGGATTTCTCTGTATGTCCGTAAAAAGTACATAAAGAACATGATTGTTCACCATGAAGATTGCCAGCCCTTATTGGTCCTGTCAAGCTTGATCCTCTGAGACATTATGTGTAATGAGACTAATAAGAAATACAAGGTTCAGGCTCGCTCCAATCAACTTTCCACAGGTACTTTTCAATGCTGCCTTCTCTTACATGTACATTCAAGAGAGGTAGAGTTGGCACCAGATATTAGTGAGTGACAAGATCAGCAGTGGCAGCAACATCAACGCCATCAACACAGTTAAAGTACGCCTCTATCTATCGCTGTGCGCTTAGTTGAGCACCGTGACAGTCGCGATGTTTATTCAGATGGTTGTTTTCAATTCTATCATGTGTACGTCGTGCGAAGTTGTTGAATGTTTTGGCGGCTGTTTACATTCACACAAGAAAAACTTAACCTATGCAAACAGAAACAGAACACACATTCCTGCTCAGGCTGTTAGGTATGATACCCACACATTGTTGGTTCGGTTCACTTGTCGTCTATTGTTATCACAAATAATATCACGCTGAGCACACCTCTTCACACGTGCATCACTAGTGCATGACGGTAGGATTTTGTTTTTTGTTTTTTTTTGCGTGAGAATCCTCACTTTTCTCCATATTCTGTGTTTGTTTTCATATCTACTGCTGTTTATATCACCTGTGCGTTGTTTAAAGAGTATTGTACTGGTTAGTTTCTTCTTTCTGCCTGTATCCACCCCAAGAGAAGGAGGCAATGAAAGGGCTTGTGGAAATTTGAAATGTTGATTGGAGGGAGTCTGGAGCTTGTGTTCGTTGTTATTGTCAATATAACTTGTATGTCGTCATAATCTGCATGTAGTTCTATTGACGAGTGTGGGAGTCACTGAACCGCCTCTCCACTGTCATACCGTGAAACACCACTCGTTGTGGTTTAAACTGTGTGTATGTGCGTGCACGTGTGTGTGCGTGTGTGTGTGTGTGTGTGTCTGTGCGTATGTCTGTGCATATGTGCATACAAGGTTATGTACAATGTCCAGCATCTCATTTCACATCTACTGTTTTGTTGTGTGGTTGCAGTGTTGTGCTCAAAGTGCAAGTATGAATCGAAGACGTTCGATCCTCTCCTGGATGTCAGCCTTGATATCAAGGTACATGAACGCTGGGTTTTTATTGTAGATGAGCTTTTGCACAGTGCCCTTGTATCAGTTGTGTGCAGCACAGTAGCTTTCCAATGCATTGGGCCTTTGGTAGTACAGTGTAGTTGGTACACATCCTTGTTGTAAGGTCGACCACATCATGCGTACATTGTTCAATGTGTGTGTAAAGTGTGCCTGAACGTTGGAAGACACGTATGCATGTGCCGGACTTACGCACATTTTTGAAGTTACCGTATTTCCCTGAATATAAGTCGCATCTTTTTACACTAAACTTCAAGGGCAAAGGAAGGGGGTGCGACTTACCATAGAGTGTGCCTACTTAGGAGTGAATGTATCGAAACAATTAGGCTCAGACCTGAAAATGGGTTGCGACTTATAATCAAGTGCGACTTATAATCGGGGAAGTATGTTGCAGCAACATTGGCTACTGTCTCCTGTATTTTTGTATCCCGGCGTCGGCGTTGGAATTTCCTGGCTAGCCCTTATTGCGATGATGTGTATGCCATATTCAGCGGATTATGATGCAAACCCCATCCATGGTAGTCTTTAATTGTTGTTTAAAAATATGAAGAACATGGAGCTGTGTAGAACAATGTCCTTTGCTGGAGGACTTAGTTTCGTAGTGATACTGTTCTGTGTGGGTGCATGCGTGTGTGCATGATGTAGAATGCGAATTCAGTGACAGGAGCGTTTGAGCAGTTCATCAAGCCAGATATACTGGATGGTGCCAACAAGTACATGTGTCCGAAATGCAAGTCGAAAGTCAATGCGAAGAAGATGCTGAGCATTCACCGTGCACCCAATGTTCTCACGATACAGCTGAAAAGGTACATAAACAGTGGTCTCTTTTAAATCTGATGATGCTATTTGTGCTATGGAAACTCTGTTACTCTGCTGGATTAGAGAGGGTACTGGATTAACACATCTGATTTACGGGTGCAGCAGGCGTGAAGAGGACATTTTGGCTGCTGAAAAATTCTGCTGGTTTATAGAGGGTGCTGTTTATAAAGTGCTAGATTGAAGAGGCATGACGGTACTGTGTGCAGACATGTGCTTCTGTTGCTTTTTATGTGGATGTGGGGGGGGGGGGGGATTTTTGCAAGTATATTCTCTTGTGCAGAGTTTTCCATGCGGCTCGAATTTCGAAACCCAGGACCCAATTGTTGATTTTCAGTGTGTCTGCTTGTGAAATGGCTTACGGCTCTCTGCCTGTGTTCTGTATATTATTTTCTCCTTGCCATTTCCTGGTTGGTTCTAGGTTTGACTTTTTTCACAAGTCTGGTGGGAAAATCAACAAGAAGATTTCCTACAGTCCCACACTGAACCTACGCCCGTACATGAGTGAGAAATCGGTATGGACTTGTGCTCTCGGTACAATGTACAATGTACTACGCGTTGTGCTTTTTAAACACAGACACGTACGTCTACATACGTAGGAGTTGTGTACAGACTTCTAGCATACTACTGTCAGAGTGGGATTTGGATGTACGAATCCCTCAAACTCTCACATTCCAGCATGCACACTCACTCTTTGCACAACACCGTCGTCTACAAATCCCAAGATGCCGGGGTTACAGATTCCTGAGTGGCGGGATGCGCCTGGAGCAAGATACAGGGAACCAAATCCTGGAAGTAGTTAAAGGTGGTGTCTGCACTGCTGCTGCTACTGCTGCTATTGCTAATGGTATTGCTAACGTTGTGGTTTGTGAAGTGTGATGCTGTGATATATGACCTGTATGTTTTTAGGGTGATGCAGGGATGTATGATCTGTTTATTTGTATAGGGTGATGCAGTGATGTATGTTCTGTATGTTTATGTAAGTTGATGCAATGATGTATGATCTGTATGTTTGCTCAGGGTGATGCAATGATGTATGATCTGTATGCTGTGCTGGTACACGCGGGGCATTCAGTACATTCTGGCCATTACTACTGCTTCACACGTACATCGACCAACGCATGCTACTGCCTGGACGACGCCAGTGTAAGTTTGGATGATCGATGCTATTACCTGGCTGTACATGTCAAGAGTAAATAAGCTCCCAAGAATGTGCAGCTCTGGATACCCGACGGTAAAAACTCACATCACGTGGTGTAACGTTACTTTCTACGTACCCAGCCTGTTTTAGCTAGTGGTGGAGTACATTGCAGTAAAATAGCACTCCCTGACAGTACCCTACTCCGGTTACACAAGCCATCAGCATGATCATGGCAGGTATTCAGACTGCTAGTACGCTGGCCGCCGTACACAGTACAAAACGTACTCTGAACACGTGGTGTGAGTTTTCGCCGTTGGATACCCTGTATGCAGAGTTGCACCCTCTTGGGAGCTTGTTTACTATTGGTGATATCAGTATTGTTATGGTGATCATGTGTGTCATGGTATTAGTGTATCAGTAGATCCACCAGTAACCGTGCCCCACAGATGCGTGTGTCCATGCACACATGCAGCATATTCACCTTCCACAGCGCCCTGTATTGCAGCACATCCGTAAACTGAGCGCTCGATTCCTGAGATCCTGTCAACCTGCTTTGTGCATGTACTGGCACTGCTGCCTTGTACCGTCTCACTCTTTCGTGCAGATGTCACTGTCACTAGCACTGTCCACTGGCTACCATCTATGCCCCATACTAGCTACCAGCTACTATTCCCACAAACTGCTGCCAATATTACAGTTAAATAGACGATGTGGAGACAATAATTTTAAAATAGCAATAAATAGGATGAACTCCGCCGTCATTACTACGAATCATCGATTTTGGAAAACCTTCTTGACTTCATTGATGTGTAGTGATGACGGTGGAATTCATCCTATCTATTGCTATTTCAATATTACAGTGCAAATCGTTTTGCTGTGTTGCACCCAAGATGGGATATTCCCGCACGCTCATTACCTCAGTTATTGTAACAAGCGAATGGCTGGAGCTGATACTGTCTGTTCAGTGTTTCTAGACATGGAACCTAGAGCAATGGAAGAAAGCATTTTGGCCTCTGTTGTTTTACCATTCTTTAGCTTCTTGCATAAATGCCTGGCTTGCGTAACCCTGAACACAGCCGGTATTTCGACATTTGGGAAGGAGGCTGCCCCTTACATCGAGTTGTGCAGGAATATTCTTGGCTAGTATGTGTGATTGCGTAACGCGCGAGCTGTTCTGAGCTATTTCCTGTGCACACTGTACACATTGTCTTGTTTGCACACATCCACACACATTCACACACATGCAGGTACGGCAAGTTGGTGCAGATACCATGTTGACACAGCAGGCCTATCTACTCTTCTATGTACGTCGGGCGAAAGGCGCATCCAGTTCGCTGTTCCAGCCTGAAGCGCGAAGCAAGACAAGTGCCAGCAGCAGCAGTAACGGCATCGCTTCACCATCACAGTCCGCTTCCCCAGCAGTACGCTCTCCAGCGGCAAGCGTTGCACCAGCATCAAAGTCAAAAGTGAGTGATCATGAATTGTATGAAAATGAACTCAAATTCACCGGCTGTGCGTGTCCCGGCACACCCAGCACTGGTTCTTGCCATGGACCAGCCTATCGTTGTCAATGGCTGCTGATGTCGGTATGTCATGTTGATTGTAATCACCTACTACAGTTGCGCTCGGTGAAATCCGACCAAGAGTGTATATGTGGCACCCTCAACTTGCATGGCCCTTGACGCCCTGGAAGTGGCACGGATTCGGCTGGACGTACACATGTACAGATACAGTGATGTAATCGGAAGTGGTCCAGGGCGTCAGCTTTGCATCTTGGGTTGGATTTCACTGAGTGCAACTGTGGTATCAGTGTAGTAGAGCTATTGTACTAGACTGTATAGACTGTATAGTCATGCCTGTTGGTATCTGTCATTATGTTAAGTAGGTTAGTACCCTGCACCACCAGTGTACAGTCCAGAATGTGTAGGGTTAGTACCCTGCACCACCAGTGTGCAGTCCAGTATAGTAGGGTTAGCACCCTGCACCACCAGTGTGCAGTCCAGAATGTGTAGGGTTAGTACCCTGCACCACCAGTGTGCAGTCCAGTATGTGTAGGGCTAGTACTGCCCAGTGCCGAGTACTTACTGACTCAACAGTATATGCTTAGCGGCGATTTACATGATGCGCACAGGATGAATCATACCATTGTGTAAATTGCCTCTTACTGAATGGTCAAATACAAGGAGTATTCTTCTGTCCAAATGGGCGAATGGTGAATAGTGTCTTACTTTTTGTTGCTGCTTTTGTGCCCACTGCATACTTGTTACAGTCATCATCTTCGCATGCTTCAAATGGAACTCCGGCATTGACATCGCCGTCTGCAGCTGCGGCGGCGGCATCGTCATCGTTAGTGAATGGCCGACACCATCCGGTCAGTCCCGGTCGTCAGGCATTAGTAAATGGGGATGCATCGCCGCTGTTGAACGGGCATAGTCGTCCTGGTAGCGCCAGCGGTGACAAGAAGATCAACCTTTCTGCAGTCGAAAGCAAGAAACAGAACCAAGTGGAGAATGGTAGGTTTGCCTGCTACTTTTGACATTGGATTGCTACGCACATCCATTGTACCTCTTTTACAGTACATAGAATCGCTTTGGCCATGAACTAACTTTCACAGAAGAAGTGCTGTTTTTTCTGTTCTAAGGTATTCTCTTACATGCATAGACCCCAGGAATGATGATTATTCATATGGGGGGGGGGGGGGGGGGATACTTATGAATTTTGTTGCACGTATGGCCACTTGAAAGTACGGAAACGCAATTTTTTGCACTTCGAGGCCCCATAGGTACAACAAACTGTGTAAGTATCTCCCTTAGGAATACCATTTCTGGGGTCTGTGCATGCTAGAGAACAAATTACTGCAGAAAACATCAATTAGAATGCATGACATCATAAAAATCAGTGAGGTACATGTAAAGGTAACCGTTAGCGAGGGAAAAGGTCAGCAGTCTTCACCCCGGTAACTACCGCAGGGTCTTGTATAAAAGCCTGTCTTATATAGAAACCTGTTTTGAATACAAGCCTGATTTTTCGGTACACACCAATACTATTTGCTGTTCCAAACCGTCTGCTAGATGTGTACTTTCTGTGAAACTGTTCTTCTTACCAAGCCTGGCCGTTGGTGTAGCAGTTGCTCTCTGTGTCCTCATCAGCTGGTTTTGTGCATGGTGTTTCCTGCTCTTGTGTTGCTGACACGATTTGCAGGTTTTGCCTCCTCAGAGCTTGGCTCTCCTGTCCTAAGGAAGAACTTTGATACTTCCCGACAGATCCTGTCGCCCAAATCCCCGAAGCGACACGAGCAGCAGGTACGATGGTGGTTTGTGTGTGTGTGTGTGGGGGGGGGGGGGGGGGGGCAGACCTATTTATGTGATCGTGTACATGCGGGGAATCGAAACTGCTTACGACTGGGTTGTTCCGTTTTGTTTCAGTTGCTAGGCAACCATGTGTATGGAGAAGTGCAACCAGTGCACTGGGCACTATTTGGACAGGTGTTCTTTTATAAGCATGCATGATATTTTCTCAAGTCAAACCCTCGCTGGTTTCAGTTGTATACGCTGAGTGTATATGCTGCAGCACATCTTGGAAGCTAATTGTCCTACATTGTACTACAGTTTGTAGGAAAATGGAAACTTCCAGGCATGGGTTACTGAGGCAATGTTGACCTATAAAATCATCATGAAAATTGCAACTCTGACCAAGTAAATGAGGTATCATGTTATGGGAGTGGGGTGGGTGAATTACCTATTTTTCTCTCTGCTTGTGTACTAGCGCAGTGGCTCTGCTGCTGCTGCTGCCGTTGTTGTCGTCATTGTCGTTGTTGCTGCTGCTGTTGCTGTTGCTGCTGCTGCTGTTGCTGTTGCTGTTACTGTTGCTGTTGCTGTTACTGTTGCTGTTGTTGTTGTTGCTGTTGCTGTTACTGTTGTTGTTGTTTTTGCTAGCTGTGATCATTCATCACTACTATTGGATGATCTGTTTTCTTGTGTAGGCACCCTCCTCTAGCCCAATCATCAGTCCACAGCCAAACAAGGCTAACAAAGAACGACAGCAGCAGCAGCAGCGGTCTTCATTTCAAAATGGCTTGGCCAAGAAGAATGGTATTGTCAGCCGTGACACGGATAAGCATACGAAATCACGGCCATCTAAGAATGGTGAGACTAGCTTTTACGTAAAGCATGATTCACAATATCACTTTCTGCGATGCGACACTTGTGACACAGAATTGCCTGTTGCGTACCGTTGCAAGCGGTCACAAGGCCATTGTCGCAGCGGTTGACCAATAGTCGACTCTTTGCGACATGTGACACACTGCGGCTTTTACATCAATGGAACACAGTTTACTAGGCTGGGTGCACCTGCATGTACTATGCACAGCAGATGATGATGATGCAGAAACCAATAGAAAAGATTGTGAATCGTGTCTCGTGGTTGCAGCTTGTCGCAGGTGTCACATGTTGCGCATCACATAGCAAACAGTGGTATTTTGAATTATGCTTCTTGGTCTTCATCTATCACAGAGTTACGGGCGTTTTAAGAAGTTCATTTAATACATTGCTTTATATGGAAAATTCACCTTTCAAATGCATTCTTCTCAGTACTGCGCGGACCTATATAAACCCCCTTTTCGGATCTGGAGGCTCAAATAGGATGGCTGTGAGCTTGTACAGTACAACTAGATTGAATACTTGCATTTAAGGGAGTGGGGAAGGGCATTTTTTATGGTGCAATTCTCTACTTAGACCGGAACTGATATTTACGAAGCATGAGCTTGTACAGTGCAAGCATTTTGTGTACCGAATAGGGCTGCGTTCGTTTTTAGCTACCTGGTAGAGTAGAATAGAGTCACTCTACCGATAGAGGTAGATGGTAGAGGCAAATTTACGAACGCTGTTCTACCGGATTTAGTAGTTTACACGATGTGTACGTGAAATGTTCCTTTTTTGGATGGAGTTGTGTACAAATCCTTGATCTTGCTGGAAATCCCGTAGCTCTACCAACTTCTACCGGATTCTACCAACTTTTTCCTGGGAGAGCCGGAAGAGGAAAGTAGAATCTACCCTTTTGAGAAGAATTTTTCCAAAAACGAACACCTCTACCGAAAGAAGTAGTTTCTACCCAAACCTGTAGATCAAAAACGAACGCCCCCTAGGATGGGTGTTGACGGGAAAAGAAGCGTGTGTGTTCCTCAATAGTTCTTCCCCGTCAACTACTGGCCAGGCTCACTCAAAAAGCTCACTGAAAAGCCTAATGGTGAATTCATTTCAAGCCTAGATGTATGTACAGTGTTAAAGTGTATGCATTTGTACGTGTATAGTTTGTAACGTCCCAGAGCATGCAACTCTTTGTATCACAAATGCTTGCTAATGATCCTCTCTTTTATGTTGGCTTGACATATAATCAGTGTTTGATTGCGGCGCATTTCAAGCATATCGCGCATGAGCGGCACGTTTTGCTTACTGCTTTTAAAATACCTTTGGACCCATCACATGATGTGGCCTATCTTGTATATATGCAAATTTTGATGTGGCTGCATGCGTGCATGTGTACATGTGCATCATGCTTGTAGGTGTACAGGTGGTGAACTTCAGGGATATGATTGACATCCGTGAAGGTAGGAAGCGGAAGGGTCATGACACAACTACCGCCGAGGACGACGCTAATTCACCCGCGAAGAAGCCGAAGATCAGTTCATGGGATGGTTGCATTGACAGCGCTGTAGTGAAGGAGTTGACTTCTAGTAAAGGTAAGAGTACACTGCATGTCTGTCTACGTCTTATTTTCATCCACTTTAGGGAATGAAAAGGGAAAGTAATACTGTCCCTCAACTCAAAATACGGTCTCTTTGCTGCATACATCACTAGAATGTTCACCAAATTTTCTGGCTTGGCCCGTCATCAGAGTAAAAAACAGTTTACAGTTTTCACCTTGATTATGTTCAATGGCCGAAGATTTGGTGAACATCTAAGTGACGTATGCAGCAGGGAAAGAGACGGTATTTTGATTGTGTGAGTTGAGGTACTCTAATGTGTAGATGACTGCAATGCAGTCTGCGAGTACTAATAGAAAGGGGAAAGTGTGTGAAAATATGATTGTCACCACAACGACATCAGGCCTCAAACTTCGCTATACGTCAACAGTACTCTACCGCTAAGCTACTGTAGTGTCGCGTATAAAAGCATGATTAGATTAGAAGCCGCTCTCTGCAAAGTACATGTGCAAGTACATGTGCAAGTACATGCGTGGCAGTATGCACTGCACTGTGTAGACTGATGATGTTGACATAGAAGCGTGTTTTGAATAGAACCATAACTTGAATAGAAGCATGGCTTGAACCCCGGCTTATACGGCCGTAAGCACCTGCTTTTATACGCGACATTACAGTATGCTGTGTTCGCTATCCAAACAGAGACCGTTTAACATTTTGTTCTGACTTGGAACTCACATTTCCTATGAAATTATACAGGCTGGTGGAGCACATCCCTCACTGTCACACACATACCTGAACTGTTATAATAGTATGCGGGGAGCCCCAATGCATGACATATTCATTTGTTTGAGGGAATGAAAAGAGGACAAAATACCTTATACAATGTACAGTCGAATGTCACTTATCCGACCACTTCGGGAATCAGGCATGTTGGATAACTGATATCATTTTTTTATGTGCATATATGGCTGGATTTCACTGATTTATGTACACAATACCCAAATATATTCATGCATATTCATGAATTGCTCCATGTACACATACATGTTAGCATACTTGACCACATCTACTTCAAGTAAATGCATATTTATACACCGTATAATATTATTATTTTTACGACAAAAGAGAAAGACTACAGAACTACAAGTTACGCTACACTGTCCACTAACACCACCAGTTACTAAACAATCAGCTCATGCGACAGTGTAGCGTAACTTGTAGTTCCTTGGTCTTTCTCTTTTGTCGTAAACATTATTATTATTATACGCATTTCCGCGGCAGCTTCAACCAAGCAGTTATGCTTGATCCACACGTTCGCTTATGCTGGACATTGAAACAGAGCAGATGTAGATATCTCCTAGAGAATGGGGCTCTACAAACCAATGATCAAAGTTAGTACTTCAGTAACATAGAGTAACATGGAGCGTCATAAAATTGGTGTCATTGGGGAAAACGTATAATATACAAAACAATTTTTTTTAGAATTTTACTGTTGTTTTACTCCCGGGCTTGTCAGATAACGAACGTGCTCGGATAACTGGCGACCGGATAAGTGACATTCGACTGTACTAGCAAGTGTTTCTCATATTTGTACGAATTGTTGCCTACTCATCGCGTTAGTGTATTTGGAAGCTAGGGTTGGTTCCTCATCAACAAAAAGTGTAACTGTTATGATTGCGTAATACTTTCATGTGGTAAACTGCTTTACGCCCCATTGATATTACTCTAGTTTCAGAAATTTTCGGTGCTCAATATTTTCGGTATGAGGGCAAAAGGCCAGGTTAGGTGAACAGAAATTTTCGGTGCAGAGAAGCAGTTCCCTATTGCATTATGTGTGTTAGTGTTTGTTCGGTGTATTGGAATTTTAGGTATGAAACAGATACACCGAAAGTACCAAAAATAGAAGTACACCGAAAATTTGGGAAATTACAGTACTTCCAGCATGCAGCATCAGCGTCTAGAAAGGGGAAAATTCCATACCCCCCCCCCCCCCTGCTGTAGGGAAATGTGTGCTAGTGATGGACACAGATAGACTCTTAGTAGTAGAGCATTGCGGAGGTAGGAGGTCTCTGATTTCGAGTCCTGGTGGCAGCCAATTCTTTCCTTATGCCTTTCTCCCAGCACTAGGTGAAACCATTGTGAGCAATCAACTGTCTTACTTCAATTAGTGATATCACTGAAGGTTACTACCTAACTGTTATAGTCCGTCTTTACACCTTGCTCATACCTTGCCCAAGCTAATGCAAAGAAACTCTTCTGAACGATTGTCCAATTACTGTTGGTAGTGGATACATGGGACAAGGATGTCAAGAGTGTAGCCTTCCCGCAGAAAACCAAGCATCGAGACAGTGCCGACGAAGAGGACGATACTTGGAATGAGGAATATGATAAGCCCAAGGTTAGTGGCCTCACCATTTTCTATCTTTTGTTTTTGTTTTGTTGTGGCCATTTCTGCCCCCCTCTCTCTCTCTCTCTCTCTCTCTCTCTCTCTCTCTCTCTCTCTCTCTCTCTCTCTCTCTCTCTCTCTCTCTCTCTCTCTCTCTCTCTCTCTCTCTCTCTCTTTCGCTTCAATTCTGTGCCCCTCTATCAAGCATTACTGCCAGTGCTACTGCTTATCCCAGATCTGTTGATGTACTGGTGCAGTACATGTACTGTTACAGTACTCTCATTTCCCTTGCCGTGTTACAATGTGTCATGATGTGATTTGATCAAGAACAGTCCACCAGCTCACTCTGTTGCTTTACTACTTTCAATCAGAGTTGTATGAACGGAGTTGTTCGCAGAGTAGGAGAATGCCTAGGCTCACTTGAGACTTGAGTAGGTGCTCCTGTACAATTCCTGGATTACACCACATTCTCATTGTCACCTACTTCGAGTATGAGGACAACTGGCATGTTCACTTGAAGAGGACTGGCGGGTCTTTCAGGACTTGTTTGATCAGTGTGTTATTATAGTGTGTTATTTGTAGCAATAATCCTACCAGCATACAATGTATAGCTCTGATGTATTGTGTTAATGTCCATCATGCACAGGTAAAGAAAGTCAAGAAGAAGCTGTTGTCAGTCAATGTCAGGAAGCCACTAGGCAATCCTTTCCAGCGTGCATATGAAAGGAAATATTCCAAGGTAATCACTTGATATTTTCACTATAATCTCTTTCTCGAAAGAACAACAGTTTCGTTGCTTTCTGTTCAATTAAACGCCGAGAAAATTAATTTTCACGGCACACATACACTTCCCTACTGCACGCATGCACTCCATCACTTCACGCATACACTCCCCCACTGAACACATACACTCCCCCACTGCACACGCACACTCCCCCACTTCACGCATACACTCCATCACTTCACACATACACTCCATTACTTCATACATACACTCCCCCACTGCACACATACACTCCCCCACTTCACACATACACACCCCACTGCACACATACACCCCACACTGGACACATACACACCCCCACTGCACACATACACACACCCACTGCACACATACACCCCACACTGGACACATACACACCCCCACTGCACACATACACTCCCCCACTGCACACATACACACCCCCACTGCACACATACACACCCCCACTGCACACATACACACCCCCACTGCACACATACACACCCCCACTGCACACATACACACCCCCACTGCACACATACACACCCCCACTGCACACATACACACCCCCACTGCACACATACATCCCACACTGGACACATACGCTCCCCGCTGCACACATAAACTCCCCCACTGCACAGAACACAGCAACGGTGCCTACAGGTTGCAGCCAGGCTACTACTACAAGAGAGACAAAGAATACTCGTATCTGGTGCAAGTCAGTCCTGAACTGATCACTTCTGGTATCTGAAGCCCAAAAGTTGCACATAGCTAGAGAACAGGAAAAGAATGACTTCAGCACCAATATGCTATACTGTACAGATTTATTTTTTCAGTTGGTAGTTTATGTCGTTCGGTTGAGCATATGGCGGGATTCACCCAAATCTCTTCGTCTGACCAAGAAATGTGCTCTCAGTCTCTCAATCATCGCTAGAAGCTTGCGTTAATGATCTGGCCTTTCTGAAGTCACGCCATACTTCTTTCTATAGCAGACACATTCTCTGTCTTCCTAGACTTACTTCAGGCAAGAGTACATGAAAACCAGAGTGTGCAGCTTGGGGCCTTTTCTGCTATGGGTGTCTGTCACGGCGAAATTCCGTGATTACATCATATTTGGCGCAGTTCTGAGGCGGGAAATGGCGTAGTGCGCAGAACTGAGCTGCAGTTGTGCGGAAAGAGACTTGCTTGAATCCTGCTTGTACGCACTACATCACTAAAATGATGTCATCACGGAATTCCGCCGTGACAGCAACCCATCCGAGCTGCACACTCTGGTTTTATGTACTCTTGCTTCAGGTTATTCCGACTTCATCCTCCCTGCTGCTGTGCTCCCTGCTCCTGCATGCCGCCTCTCGCAAAAGCATATCCGGTTCATGTGTGTGTGTGTGTGTGTGTGTGTGTGTGTGTGTGTGTGTGTGTGTGTGTGTGCGCGCGCGCGTGCGCATGTGCGCGTGTGTGTGTGTTCATCAGCCTTGCAAGCTGTTGAGTGGTGTAATCCCAGCACAATTTGCTATATTTGGCATGGCTTGTTCGCTATCATCGCCTCAGCGATGGGCAGGAGTATGCGTATGAGTGTTGTGTGACCACCAATGATTCTTTACCAACCAGTTGTTCTCATTGCCTATTTTGTGTGCTGGTCTCGACGTGTGTTCACTATAGAAAATCACCAAAGTCGGAGTGGCATCACGCGGTGGTCGACTTGGCCGACGGCATGGCATGAGCGGCAGCTTGCACCAACGGAGACGTGCACACTAAGTCCAGACTACTACTGCGGCGTCTTGTCTGGACTTTACCCACGGTATGCTTTGCCCATCCTTGCTACCATAGTCACCATGGCTGCTGCTGTTCTATGCCTTGCATGCAGACATCTCTATGTGTCAGCTACAAGCGTAACTGCAGTCCTGCTCACGGAAACCCAGTCGCTGGAGTCAAGTTTGAGCCTTCCACCATTCATGGTGGCTGTGTTGCGCTCTGAGCCGCAGCAATCATGTTGACTGCTGCCTGTTGGACACACAGAATATCTAACAACCATCAAGTAGTCACAGCCATGTGTCGTTGTACCAAGGTATGTCGTGTTCGGATAACTCTCCGCAACACAGGCGGTAGCAGTCATCCTGTGCTGCCAGTGCTGTGTATCTCTCTGTTGATTGTTATGACCATGTTCACAGTGCTGCTGGTGGGCTGTGCTGGGTACAGAGGCACAGAGGTACGTACAGTCTACAGCATGTGCTGCAAGCCATTGAACTGGCATGCTATCTGTCATACCGTGTGCTATATATGCCACTGTGCACATGCCTAGCAGAACTATACATATTCCTGCAGCAGCACAATGCCATGTCCCAGCCCAGTGGTATGACACACCTGACTTGCCTGTAGCTCTAACTGCACCAAGGCCTTTTTTATTTCAGTTGCGCCTTTGTTACAGGCCTTTATCCCAGCTACAGCTCTCCCATGCAGGGTCAAAACCCGGTATGACCCATCACAGCACTTTGTTTTGTAGAGCTAGTTGCTGTTAACCTGGAATTTAAGTCTCTCAAAGTCGCTGTTTGTTGAATTATTGTTTCATCCTTTTTCTTTTAACCGTTCCTCTTTTCTTTCCACGCTGTGTGCACTGCACACATGTGCACACACTCTCGCTGTACGACATCGGTTAGCACATGTGTTGTGCTTGCAGCGTGAGATCTGTGTTTTGACGCTATGCGCTGGAAAGTTACTATTGTTGTGTTTTGAGTGCCAACTGGCTCCGCACAAGCTTTCTTCTCTTTTATGTGTGTGTACTGCACGTGAGCATGTTGAGGGCAGCTGTACCACGCCGATCAGTATTTATGGACTAGATAGCAGATATCGTTTACCTGCCATGAGAAGTTTTGTTTGCTCTCTTTTCTTCAATCACTATCCTAACCTTTAACAATTGTATCTGTCGATGTGTTCGTCAGGGTATGGTCACAGCTCTCTTTTCCTTCTTGCTTGTTCTGCGACGACTACTGTCGTAGAGAGGTACTTTACACATCTTGTCCAGTCTGTTTTTCTTTGATAAAGATTGAAGGAGTTCATTTTACCTGGCAAGCTTCAATTGCTAGCCAGCAATGTCGATTCTAGGGATTTCACTCTGTACTCTTCTATACTCCTGCTTTTCTTGCCTACTTGTGTGTGTGTGTGTTTTCTGTGTACGTGCGTGTGTTGAGTGTGTATTCGGATGTAGTCCGTGTATGTAGACCAGGTATGCATTGAGGGTCGACAATGCACTTGGCTTCGCCAGTTGTCTGGATGTAGCTGTCGCTAGTCTTCATCTGTTTCATCCAGATCTTGTCCGATATCATTGCTATAAGTATAAGATGCAATCTGTGGGTATTACACCTAATGCATTATTTTGTAGAGTAGCGTGCTGCTCTTGTGACCCCCGGCAGTGGACTGTGGTGTGTTTGTGTGTGCAGCGGTGGGTAGTTAACCGCACAACAGGAGTGAGATTTTATATTGACGGATGTTAGCATCATCAACCTTATTGATCTTCTTCAGATTGAATACCGCGTGAAGGCAGTAGCAAGTAGCAGAACTAGTACATGTAGTGTTAGAAAAGTTCGACTCTCTTATCATTTACGCACGTCGTGTTATTGACTTACATGACCTGATGTCTGATGTGAGTCACATGCAGTGTAAGCGTAAGTATGGCATCGCGTGCGTCATGTACATGCAATTGTGGCATGTTGTGCATGCAAGAGTTTGCTTGGTCAAGGACTGAGAGAGGGAGAGTGCCTGAGAAGCTGCTTCTGTATGCAGTCAAAACCCTTCCATTTCCTCTGTGTGCGCATGTAGAGGGGACGGTTTCAAATAGGACACCGGTTGCAAACCGGAACGGACTCAATATTCACTTTCTCTCTTGGTATTTTGATTAGAAAACATATGTCACAGTGAGACTACTATGTGTTATACTCCGAGCCAAAATTTCATGGCTCTGCGATGACCAGAAGCGCCATATCAAGCAGGCGAGTTTTTGACGTGTTGCTTCGCACTGCGACTTGAGTTTTACGACTTTCGAAAAATCAACTTCTTGTCGCAGGTAAACAGCGGCTCGCCTCTCGCCAATAAAGCACCGCATACCAATCAAAACTAATGGAAGCACACACAAGGCTTATTGTTACTCTGTACTGGCCGTCGTGGAGCGATAGCAATTACCTAATTTCAGACCCAGAGTGAATTTGACGTGCACTCTAAAACGTGTCCGGTTTGGAGCCACCTCTGATTTGAACTTTTTTGAAGCGAAAAATTGGGCAACTTGGAGGCAATGGGTCAACACAACGGAGTGGCTCAGTTCGATTGACTCTGGCCCCAGAGCAAACTTCAACATGCCAGTTTCCTTCCACAAACATATTTCGAGTGAAAAATCAACGCTGATAATCGGTTTGGGTCTATACAAATTTGGCTGTCAAAACGTCCCGGTATCGAGCAGTCTCCTCTACCACCAGTACATCATTCTGCACCCCCAGTGCCTTGAGCAGCCCCAATACATGCACTACAAGCAAGACATGCCTTTGATTCGAATAAGGGTCCATGCAACACACGAATGGAGCTCATGCAACGCTGTGTGGTGCATGCCGAGGGGACCATGCAGTAAAGTCACGTCGAAGAACGTTGAGCCCAAGAACATCCAGCCTGAAGTGCTAAGAACACCACAGCCTAAAGTTTAGAACGGTTTAGAATAATGATAAACATTTTTACCTACTCTTGAATCTTGATATGATCCAGTACGAATTGTTTCTACAAACATGCTATAAGAACGCAGCCAGATTGCTGAAAAATAAGGACGCTCCAATGCCCTGGAATCAATGTTCTTGGACGCGCAACTCTAACATTAGAATAGATCATCTTGTATCTTACAAGTAGAATATAGTGGTTAGTAGTATGCCATTTACGCAGGTAAGGGGTTTATTATGGATTTCAATGGGGCTACCCTATAATCAGTTCTAACAGAGCATATGCATGCAGCCTCATGCAGTACACAATTGACCATACACATGCCGAACGTGATTGCTTCGAATGTATAACGCACGCCAACAGCTCACTTGCATGTGAAATATAAACCGATATTCGAACAGACCCAGAGCGGAGGTTTGTAAGTCATGATGGAAGTCATGCAACCAAAGCACCATACAGTAATAAGTCCAGTGCAGTGCAACTACCGTACAATAAATTACGATGGATTTGTCCAAACAGTGGAAGACTACAAGACAACACGCACGCACATGCATCACGCGTACACCAGTGGGAGAAAGGCAGAGAGGGACACCTTACTTCTCTAACAATGGTTTTAATGCAGAGTAGTCGTAATAGTACGATATACAGTGCTGCTCAATGCAATCCGATCAAGCCAACCAATGCCACACTGGGCGCTGTGAAGTCCTAGAGTTAAGAGCACTGGGATGAGAACTGGCATATAGGGCACACTTTGACTAATTTGCTTCAAACGGTCAGATTTCATTGAGCAGCAATGTAGTATACTTGTGCTGACCTCCATACACACAGACAGTCAAATTCTGAAAGTAATTTCAGCCCGTAACCTGCTAATGGGAATGCCCCAGGCCAGAACCTCATCCCTACTTCATCCCAGTACAGCATTGTATCAGATTAGTAGCAATCTGCTGAGACTCATCCTAGAATGTGGTGGTCCAAATAATCCGAGCAGTCGCGAGTGACAAGCTGCGATAAAACACTACAGTGGAGATTGGATATAACAACACTCCTCCCGATCTTCACAAAGGACTTACTAAACGACTTGGGCAACAGAATTGTGTAGCTTCACTCAATCTGTTGTTATATGCAAGGTCTGCAAGGTCGTTATATGCAAGGTTGTTATATCCTATTTCCCCTGTACATGACTGTGCTCATAATGTTGCTTTCGAATTGCCACCAGAGTTTGCTTGCTACACACTTCAACGAAGATGTAAATCTTACAAACTTAGCTGCTAAATCCTCGTTCCATTGTTCTCACCCTAGTTACTATTGTAATAAAGCATGGTTACCGCACAGTTAGTATTCTTGATTACCATATTAAAATAGTAATTCATTTGAATTAGGCTCCAGTTATCCACATTCCTCTGCACACGGGGCAGTCACCAGGCAGCATGAAATCGCCATCTCACGACAAAATCCGCCAATTTTGGTGTCTTCCGCGAAATGCGATAATGAATATTTCGATAAATCAACCGCAAGTGTAGTCACATTTCACCGCAAACTCAGGCCAATATGCACTGCATGATTTACACAACTTTCCAGAGAGACGGGGCTTTCTTCAGTTCCGCACTTTTCCATGGGGACAGACCAGGGGTTTGGCTGGGGAGTATGTAGGATAAGGGAGTGGGAAAAACGCCCATTTGAAGCATGCAAATTGCCTCAGGCTTTCCGCTATTTTTTCGGCATTCCCACATGAACCAGGCACGCTCCAGTTCCTCGAAATTACCCATTGGTATGCATGCTGGCAACCTGCTGCCATATATCCATATTTGGGGTTGAGGGTGGCGCCAAAAGTCAGCAAAAACTCATTTTCTCCCTTAATTCATTTCAAGCAGGCATTTAAGATAATTGATTGTTTGGATAGTTGACGTGGATAATCGACATTCTACTGTACATTCCGTCACAAAGTGCCCAAACTTCTGACATGGAACCATGCATTTAAAACTGCAATTTGAATCGATGTATCCCATTGCATTCAAAGGATAAAGTTGTCATTTATGTATTGCCGGATCATGGTGGAATTATTATTAGGGCCGAAACGATTATACCGATTACTCGTATATCACTCGTTATGAATGAAATCGATAATCGTTATGATCGATAACGATTATGACTGTACAGTGCGAGAGCGGGCATGACGTCAGTACATGCAGACCATGCATGGCATCATGCACGCGCGTCATGTCATGCGCACAAGTACATGAACGTCGAAGTAGACGTGCATGAAGCCGTAGGTCCGTACAATCATTGCGCGCTTGATCCTTTTTGGGTAGTCGTACATAGTCACCAGGTCACTACATTCACTGCACTAGTCAGCGTAGCCAAAAAATGTAACAACCGGAAAGCTTCATTACTGTTAGGTTGTAGCGAAGCTGTGAGTGTGGCTGCCGTCCTTCTAATTTGTTCAGTTCTTGTCAAAAACTTAGTTAATTTTGATTTTTTGGCGAGGAGAGCAGTGACAATGCTCCCGCCTGGAAAAGCGAAAGTTAGTCTGACCAAGAGATCGCCAGCGTGGGCATATTTCGAGGAAGCTGATAGCGTAGCGAGATGCAATTCGTGCAGCCGCGAGTTCGTCCGTCAAAGCGGCACAACCAACTTGTTCCAGCACCTGATTTCTGCTCATAAAGATCAGTACGCCGCTGCGGTAGGGAAAGGATCAGCAACCCAGTCGACAGCAACGGCGACTACCAGCAATGTTGAGCGCAGTGACAATGCGACGAACAGTGCTGGAATGAAGCCGTCACGTCGTTCTTCGGCACAGATAACTTGCGAACGTGCGACAGCAGGCACTCAGGCATGTTGACGGAGTCGATCATCGACAATCCCGTCGATTCCAGTTGACCCTTCTCCATTGTAGAAGACAGACGACTGATCGTTGATGTTTAATGGCAGAGGAACACTACTCATATCACGTTGCAAATTTTTATTTTGGTCTTTTTTGGGCCTGTGTGGATCTTTCACCCATACGTACCTGTATATCGGTAAATAGTTGAACAAATTTAATTGTTTTTGTTGTATACTGATGTCCAACATGACGCGTATAAAACTTGTTCGGAAAATCGGTAAAACCAATAAATCGATCGTTAGTGTTATTGGTTAATCGTTAAGGCAAAATGGGCAATCGTTTCGGCCCTAATTATTATTATAATGAAAACTATACATTTCAGTACAGGCCCATGCATGGTGATTTAAAAATGACGCACACATTTGAATGGACACTGTACGCTTTGAATAGGGTCTATGCATTCGAATAGTGCTCATACTGGCATTCAAATGCTGCCCATATCTTTCAATGGGGCCCACACATTTTGAATATTGCCCATACATTTGGATGCCGAGTACAGGAATCAAAAAAATGGCAGCCAAACCTGAAAATTTGGGCATAGGTCTGTTG